CCCCGTTTCTCCCATCCTGTGCCCTCCCCCGTGCCCCCCAGCCCCGTGCCCGCCCCGTGCTCCCCCCACGCCCCCTCACCGGGCACCAGCACCGTCTGCAGCGGCCGCACCTCCACCCCCTGCGCCGGGTACTCCAGCGGGGAGTTGGCCGGGACGATCAGCAGGCGGTCGGCGGGGGTCTGCACCCTGCGGGGGGGCACCGGCCCTTCAGCCGGGGGTCCCGGGGCGGGGGTCGCACACCCAGCCAGGGGGTGCCAGCCTCCCCGCGGCGCCCCGGGGGTCCCCGCGCTCACCGGTTCCGGTAATTGCGGTACTCGCGCTCCCGCAGCCGCAGCTGCCGCGGCCGCTCCCCGGGGGCGAAGGCGCTGGCGAAGTCCAGCCCCGCCGGGCCGGGCCCGAAGAGCCGCCGGTGCAGCGGCAGCGCCAGCCCCGCCTCCGCCTCCGCCTCGCACGAGCAGCCGTTCCTGGGCAGCAGCCTGTCGCGACAGGGCCGCTGTCACCGACAGCAGCGGCGCCAGAGCCTGCGCCGCGGGGAGCGGCACCGCCCTGGCAGCGCCCGTCCGTGCTTGGCACCGCCCTGGCACCTTCTGTCACCTCCCCTGTCCCCAGTGTCACCGCCCTGCCACCTCCTGTCACCTCCCCTGTCCCCAGGTGTCACCGCCCTGCCACCTCCTGTCACTGCCTGTCCCCCGGTGTCACTGCCTTGGCACTGCCCTGGTACCTCCCGTCCCCTCGTGTCACCACCCTGGCACCGCCCTGGCACCTCCTGTCACCTCCCCTGTCCGCAGGTGTCACTGCCTTGGCACCGCCCATCCCTGTGTGGCACCTCCCTGGCACCTGCCGCCACCCCCACAGCCCTGACCCCCCTGGCATGGCCTTTGTCACCCCTCTGTCACTGCCCATCGCCCTTCCCCTGGTGTCCCCACCACACGATCCTGGGGTGCCCCAAACACCCAACCCTGGGGTGCCCCATTTTTGGCTGCCCCCACACAGGGGCGCCCCATAGGAGCCACAGCCCCATCCTGGGGTGCCCTCAGCCCTGAGCACCCCCGCCCTTGGGTACCCCAACCCTTGGGTGCCCCAACCCTTGGGTGCTCCAACCCTTGGGTACCCCACCCTTGGGTGCCCCAACCCTTGGGTGCTCCAACCCTTGGGTACCCCACACTTGCGCTGGGGGGGCCCTTGGGTGCCCACAGGTGCAGGTAGAGCGCGGCCAGCGAGGCCGAGGCCACCAGCAGCAGGCACAGCGCCCGCTGCGCCCCCCGCATCCTGCCTGGGGGGGGACAGCGTCACCCCGGGGCACCGGGGGCAGGGCAGCCCCTCCCAGTGTCACCAGTGCCCCCCAGTGCCCCAGGGAAAGGGCAGCCCCTCCCAGTGCCCCCCCCCGGTGCCCCCCAGTACAACCCAGCTCCTCCCAGTGCCCCCTGGTGTCCCCAGGGCCCCCCAGCTCCTCCCAGTGTCTCCAGCACAACGCAGAGCCCCCAGTGCCTCCTGCTGCCACCCAGCATCCCCAGTGCAAACCAGTACAAACCAGTGCCCACGGCAACCCCCAGGGACCCCCAGTACAAATCAATGCCCACAGCCCCTCCCAGTACAAACCAGTACAAACCAGTGCCCACAGAACCCCCAGTGACTCCCAGTACAAACCAGAGCCCACAGAACCCCCCCCCAGTGACTCCCAGTACAAACCAGTGCCACCAGTGCCGTGCACCATCCCTCAGTCCCTGCTCTGCCTCCAGCGTTTCCCAGCACTCCCATGTCCCAGTTTCCCAGTTCTCCCAGATTCCCAGTTCATCCCAGTACCCTGTCCAGTGCCCCCCACCCCGCTCCCCCGTTCTGCTTTGCTTGGACCCCTCTATCCTGCTCCAGTGCTCCCAGTACCCCCAGTGCCTCCCAGTGCTCCCAGTGCTCCCAATTCTCAAAGTGCTCCCATTTCTCCCAGTGTTCCAAATTCTCCCAGTTCCCCCAGTGTTCCAAATTCCCCAGTGCTCTCAGCGCTTCCAGTGCTCCCAGCGCAGGCTCCCAGTATTCCCAGTTCTCCCAGTACCCCCAGCCCTCCCAGCACTCCCAGTACCCCCAGCCCTCCCAGTGCTCCCAGTTCTCCCGGTGCCCCCAGCACCGTGCCATCCCTCACCTGGGGGTGGGCGCAGGTCCGGGGGGGGCTCAGCCCACACTCATGGCTCTGCCCCCGCAGCTCCGGCCTGGGGACACGGCGACAGTGTCGGGGCGGGAGGGGCCCGCGGCCCGGGACCCTCCCGGCTCCCCCAGCCCCCCGGCCCTGCAGCCCCCCGGGGCCGCCCCAGACCCCCCGGGGGTCCCCCCGAGGGTGAGGGGTCTGGCAGAGGCAGGGCCCGGGGCACACGTCACGTCGGGAGGGGCTGGGGGACAAGGAAGCCCCTTCGGGGGGGGG